CTCTCTCTCCCTCCCCTCTCTCTCTCTCTCTCTCTCTCTCTCTCGCAATTCACTTCAACGTTTCGTAATCTCAGCACCGGCCTCGATAAACCATTCGCAATTGTTTCAAAACATTAAAAAAAAAAAGTCTCGATAAGCCAGACCAAGGTTACGGTACCCCTTCGCGGTCTCAACACTGACAGGCACACCCGCCCTGGTGGTAATTCCGCGTATTTCACAAGATCTGATCGAGACCTTGAACAGAATGAACGATAACTGAAATCTCAAGACCATGAATGAACAAGCAGGCTTGGCTGGAAAACCCGTGCCAAGAACAATAGACCAGAGAGTGGAGTAGAAGTTGTCAGTTGAACTTAAACTGGCGAGCATCACGTGACATGCTTTCAGCTCTGACACCAAAGGTCACATCTTTTGAAACGAACGCGAGCTCCACCGAAGAGTTTTAAGGCCGCTCGACGAAATAGGACAACTTTCAAATATTGATTCTTCTTCACTCAGTATAAAATTAATTATAGATACTGGTACGTACGTGTATATGTATACAATGTGTATATAATACGATGCTTGTGATATTTATATCAAATATATATACCCTTTCTTTCTTTACAGAAAAAATACAACGTAAGAAAGCGACGCTGTGAAAACTACAATCAGCAACTACATCAAGTCAAGAGAAAACAAAGATAAGCCTGTAAGTTAATCAGCCAAGGGTTTCTTTCTGTGAAGGAAATCGTTGGAGAGGCAGACCAGTTCTTACCGTTATCACAAGGAATAGGCTACGGTCGCTGGACGAAAACTTTGAAGAAGACAAAAGAAAAAAGAAATCAGCAACCCACAAAGTATCAGAGAGTTCGGACTTACCTACTTCGAAAAAGACAAAGAATATTTAGAAAAGGAAAAAAAAAGAAAAGCCCAAGAGACTGAATTCGGATTTTTGGATTGTGAAACAGTTGCGAGACTAAAGTGTCGTGTGACCCGACTGTGCCTAACTTTTTGTGTCGTGTGAACCAGCTGTACCTAACTTTTTGGTGTCGTGTGTGACCCAGCTGTACCTAACTTTTGGTCTTGATCGCCGTTGGAGGCCGGTGTGAAGAAAGGAGTTGTGACGTCACATTTGAACTGGTCTTCTCTTCTCATGCCGAGTGTTCATTCTGATGAGGACAAGGGGAAGCTCACCGGCGAGGTAAGTAGGACCTAATTAAATCCTTTATAATACTTTATTACTGATTTCGCCCCCTCCCCCCTCTCTCTGTCTCTTTCTCTCTTTTTCTCTCTCTCTTTCTCTCTCTCCCTCCCTCCCCCTATCTCTCTGTGCCTCTCTCTGTCTCTCTGTGCCTCTCTCTGTCTCTCTCTCTCTGTCTCTCTCTCTCTGTCTCTCTCTCTCTCTCTCTGTCTCTCTCTCTCTCTGTCTCTGTCTCTGTCTCTCTCTCTGTCTCTCTCTCTGTCTCTCTCTCTCTGTCTCTCTCTCTGTCTCTCTCTCTGTCTCTCTCTCTGTCTCTCTCTCTCTGTCTCTTTCTCTCTGTCTCTTTCTTTCTCTCTCTCTTTCTCTCTC